CGACATGCGTGGTAAATTGCGTGTAGATATAACAGATTGAAGGAGAACGTGGCACCAAAATGGGTTCTTATGTTGTTGTGATGTCAAGCCTGTAACAATAGAAGAACGTTTGTGCTATATAGAACGATGAGCCATGAACAGCACATTCTCCATCAATCTGAAGAACCATTTAACAATGCAAATGGTTGAAGAACCATCTTTCTTAAGTGTATGCAGATATCCTCAGGGCTTCCAGTGCAACGCAGGGTTCTGCGCAGGGAGATCTGTGTCCTGTTCTCGTGCCTGAAGCTGCTGCTGGAGAGCGAGGCCTCTGAAACCCTCTCTCAGGGCTTATTCAGAGTGCAGGGCTGAGTGACGGAGTAAGTGAGCGTCATTTGAAGTGCTGATGGGTGAGCGGCGTAAGGAGACAGGCTAACCAGCGATTTAGGGCTTTAAGCAGCTTCTGATGAAAACGTAATGAAATGAGCGCCGAGTTCTGACCACATGATCTCCGCTCACAGTCCTCCCAGCAGCCCAGCGATGATAAACACGCCTGATCACACTCGGAGACGCCTCTCACTGAGCTGATGGAGAAATAGCTCGGACTGTGAGGAAGAGCATGTTCTCCTTTAATGCAGGTCTGGAATGTTCTCCTGCGGACAACAGGGATGGACAATACTCGAAGGGAAATTCCACCAAAAAATCCTCTATAATCCTGTGGGGAAGTGTAAACGAAGCCATTCAGACTGGTTTGGTGTGGAATGGTTCATTGTGCACTCCTAAAACAGATGGTTCTTCAGGCTGGTGGAGAATGTGTTGTATATGGTTCTATATAGCACCAAAAAGGGTTCTTACATTGTGACAAGCTTGACTTCATAACAACAGCAGAACCATTTTTGGTGTTATATAGAACCATATACAGCACACTCTCCACCAGTCCGAAGAACCATTTCACCATGCAGAAAACCATTTAAGTATGCAAATGGTTCTTTGATGAATTTTTCCATCTTCTATAAGAGTGTAGAGACTCAGATGTCTTTACAGTGGTGGTGATAGGAACCAGGGGTCGCCATGACAACAACACAAATATAGACATTTTATTTACTATCCAGAACCACCAGTGAACCTACACGAGTCTTCTGAGTTTATATGGAATGTTGATGATGGAAAATAGTGGAAAATCTGAAATAATAAGTTTTCTTTGGGGACTATTTTTATAAAATGGATCATATGAACATTATAGAGGCTTTTTAAATGAAACAGTAGAAGCCATATCGCCCCCTACACTTCCTGTAGTGTATTACAGTCTGTCAGAGTGACTGTGTGGATCATATGAACATTATAGAGCTTTTTAAATGAAACAGTAGAAGCCATATCGCCCCCTACGCTTCCTGTAGTGTATTACAGTCTGTCAGAGTGACTGTGTGGATCATATGAACATTATAGAGGCTTTTAAATGAAACAGTAGAAGCCATATCGCCCCCTACACTTCCTGCATGCATCCCTCCACCATGAATGGATTTTAAGGCCAACATCTGAAAACTATCATAAACCACTGTAATACACTGTGGGAAGTGTAGGGGGCGATATGGCTTCTATTTTATTCATTATACCAAGACACACCGGTCAGGCATAACATTATGACCACCTCCTTGTTTCTACGCTCATTGTCCATTTTATCAGCTCCACTTACTATATAGGTGCACTCTGTAGTTCTACAGTTACAGACTGTAGTCCATCTGTTTCTCTGATACTTTGTTACCCTGTTCTTCAGTGGTCAGGACCCCCATGGACCCTCACAGAGCAGGTACTATTTGGGTGGTGGATCATTCTCAGCACTGCAGTAACACTGACGTGGTGGTGGTGTGTTAGTGTGTGTTGCGCTGGTCTGAGTGGATCAGACACAGCAGTGCTGCTGGAGTTTATAAACACCTCAGTGTCGCTGCTGGACTGAGAATAGTCCACCAACCTAAAATATCCAGCCAACAGTGTCCTGTGACCATTGATGAAGGACTAGAGGATGACCAACACAAACTGTGCAGCAGCAGATGAGCTATCGTCTCTGACTCTACATCTACAAGGTGGACCGACAAGGTAGGAGTGTCTAATAGAGTGGACAGTGAGTGGACACAGTGTTTAAACACTCCAGCAGCACTGCTGTGTCTGATCCACTCACACCAGCACTACACACACTAACACAGCACCTCCACATCAGTGTTACTGCAGTGCTGAGAATGATCCACCACCCAAATAGTACCTGCTCTGTGAGGGTCCATGGGGGTCCTGACCACTGAAGAACAGGGTAAAAGGGGGCTAACAAAGTATCAGAGAAACAGATGGACTACAGTCTGTAACTGTAGAACTACAAAGTGAGACTATGTAGTAAGTGGAGCTGATAAGATGGACAATGAGTGTAGAAACAGGGAGGTGGTCAGAATGTTACGCCTGACCGGTGTAGAACAGATCATAGAATTTTCTATGATTTCAGTGGTAAAGAGAGACGAACAGAAGAAAGCAGAATAGTTAGATTAGTTGATTAATGGGATAATAGATTAATTGATCATCTAAATAATCATTAGCTGCAGTCCTGCTGCCCCGGTCAGCGCTCGTGTGCAGCTGTAGGAGGAGCGCTGTTCTTTCTCTGCTCTTCAACGCTGCTGATTTTCATTGACTGGAAAAGAGCTGAAGATGATGTGTGGATGGACAGGCTGCAGGCTGGAGAGGGTGAGTGCTGCCATCTGCTGGATCCTGTCTAACAGTGCTTCATCTAAACATTGCATTGCACTAAATAAAAATGTTCTGACTGTAATAATAATAATAATAATAACAATAATAAAAACAGGAATAAAGTACAGGAGCAACATGTATGAGGAACATATTATAATTTATATGTACTTACAAATGTAAAATACACACTTAAAAAAAGATGGTTCTTCAAGGGTTCTGTAGTAAAAGCAATGGTTCTGTTTTAAGCTGTTTTTAAAATGGTTCTGTTTTTCAAGCTTAAATGGCTTTTTTCATGGGGAAATGGTTCTTCAGATTGATGGAGAATGTGCTGTATTTGGTTCTACATAGCACCAAAAAGGGTTCTGCTATTGTACACAAGCTTGACAATGCTATATAGAATAAATAGAACCAATACATTCTCCATTAATCTCAAGAGCCATTTCACTGTGCAAAGAACAATTTAAATATGCAAATGGTTCTATAAAGAACTCATACTTCTAAATAGAACATTGTATATTCTGAACACAGTTATTTTGCATACTTAAATATGTATAGTACTGATATTATTATCCATCCATCCATCATCTAAACCGCTTATCCTTCTGGGTCACGGTGGGGTGCTGGAGCCTATCCCAGCTGTCATTGGGCGGAAGGCAGGATACACCCTGGACAGGTCGCCAGTCCATCGCAGGGCACTGATATTATTATTATTATTATTGTTATTGTTATTATTATTATTATTATTATTATTATTATTACATATAGGCAAGTGCATATCATAGATGAGGGGTTTATCATTATGTTCACATATGTTTCATATGTGTGTTTACATACGTACATACAGAAATGGGCCACATAATTATTACATATACATATTTACATATAGTATACATAAGGAACATGTTATTATTATTATTAGTAGTAGTAGTAGTAGTAGTATTACCCATAGGGATTTTGTACTGTAAACATATCTGGGGAAGATGAGTGGATATTAATTTGTAATTATAGACATGTTATAAATGTGGTCTCACTTGCTTTTCTCAGTGCTTTTAAATAAGCCAGCATGAAGAGAGAAGCTCACACAGGAACCAGCTTGCTTCCCTTTTCTGACCCACACCAACCTCCCACCTTCCTCTTCTTCTTCCTCTTCTTCCTCTGACCCTCTGTGCGGTGAGGCCGGTCAGTTGCCATGTTCCTCAGCTCTTTCTCTCCTTCCCACGGAGGCTTTGTGTTCTGAAAGTGCTTTTTCTCTTACAAGTGTGCAGAACTACTTGCTGAGCTCTTGTAGTTCTAAGAATGGACAGCAGATGGCGCTGCTGTTTAACTTTTAATAGAATGTTACCACAAACTATGCGATTTGAATCATTTTAATAATCAGTGTCTGCTTATTAGCTATCACGTGCTCTGTGTTTGTAGAAGTTTCAGTTATAAAGTGATTTAAAAATGTGTTTATTAACTTTACAGGGCTGCATGTTCACACCAAAGCCGTTTTCTTTTTACGCCCGTATTCCGGCAAACCCCGCCTCTTCTGCGTTTGGATTGGCTAACAGTTCATACACACAACAGTAACTACGTTCTGGGGGGCACAGAGCCCCGCCCCTTCTGCCATGATAAAGATGACAGTTATTTTTATTATATTATTATTATTATTACTTTTTAAAAAATATTACTGACAGCACAGGTAATATTATTATTATTATTATTATTAGTCGTAGTAGTAGTAGCAACTGCAGTATTAATAGTTTTTAATTTTTTAAATAAAATATTGATAAACATTTTTATAAAATATTTTAAAATCATTTTTATTAATTTGACTATTAGTAGTAGTAGTAGTAGCAATAGTTTCATAATAATAATAACAGCAATATTATTATTATTATTATTATTATTATTATTATTATTTGTAGTACTGAAAGTATTTTTTGTTAGTAGCAATAGCAGCAGTATTATTAGTGTCGTTATCATTATTCTTGTTGTTTTTATTATTATTGTTGTTGTTGTTGTTGTTGTTACAGGAAGTAAGGAGTTGCTATTGTGAAAAATAGTAGCTGCAAAAACACATCTAACGCACTAACGGCGCTCCGGGGGGCGCAGAGCCCCGCCCCTCCTGCGCCACGATTGGCTAAAACAGGGACGCGAGGCACTCTAGAACTCTAGGGAGAGTCTGACGTAATGCGGGTGTGTTTGTCCGAATACGGGTGTGAAATATTAAACCATTTTCCCCTCCATCCACGACGCCGCTGTGTTTACCCCGTTAGGCTCTGACGTCATGCAACGTCAGGAAGAGCCGGGCCCCGCCCCCTTCTCTCTCGCTCGCGCCTCCGTTTCTCTCGTGCGGGGCGGTTTTTTTATTTTAATTATTACCGAGCGCGCGACGAACCGAACTACCTTTAATACCCCACCGACCCCTCCCACCCCACCGAGGGGCAACATGGCGGCGGAGCGCGAGCGAGGCTCCTCGCGACCCGACCGAGCGCACGAGCTCACATGAAATACGCGCGCGTGGGGCTTTTTGCGGTTTTTATCTTTACTTTGTTTCCTCTGTGTTTGAAAAGCCACAAACAGCGGCGGCATCATGGGCGCCAAGGCGAGCAGCCCGGCTAACGCCGCTAACGGGCGCGCGCGCGCGTACTCGGGCTCTGACCTGCCGCCGCCGTCGCGCACGCACGCGGACGGAGCTGGAACTGGAGCGAGCGTGCGCGTGCCCGCGCGGCGGGGGTCCGGCGGCAGCGGAGGGGGAGCAGGGGGCTCTGGGGGGGCGGGACTCCTGATCGGGTCACTTCCGGCTCACCTCTCGCCTCACCTGTTCGCAGGTAAGAGCTGCGGGCTTTTTACCTTCATGTCCAGGTGATTAGCTCCGCCTCCCTTTTGTCCACACTCACCGGCCACTTTACCAGACCACAGTTATTCCGCGATGGAGCTTATAAACACAGCCTCTCAGAGCCTCTCTCCCATCATGCTTTGCTTTGTTTATATTGCTCATTTAAAACTAATAATAATAATGATGAAAGTTATTATTATTATTATTTTATTATTTGTAGTTGTAATATTAGTAGTCATAGTAGTGGCGATAGCAGCAGTATAGTTAGTATTATCATCACCATTCTTGTTATTATCATCACTGATATTAGTAATACCAGTATTTACTTTATTATTAGTTGTGTTATTATTATTATTATTATTATTATTATTATTGTATCTTTTAAGCAATGCTGATAGCACAAAGGGCGAATGGTTGGACATTAAGCCTTTAACAAATCGTCATATAGTTATTGTTATTATATGTTTTCCATATATAATCATAATAATAACAGCAGTAATAATAATAATCATCATCATTATTGTTTTGATGTGCGGTTGATTCTGGGTGATCTGACTCCAGGAGGTGTTTTATGAAGCTGACAGGACAGATTTGATAATCCATAGATCGATGATCTTCCTCTCTGCCTGTGAAGCCCGACTGTGTCCTGATCTGAACAGTGTGCTCTGGGTTCTGTGGTCCTGAAGCAGGTCGTCCTGCAGAGGAGACAGAGGCTGCAGTCTGGACAGTGTTGTGACAGTAGAGCAGTTCAGGAACGGCTGTAATGGAAAGTAGCAGCTACAGAAGTACAGTCTGTAAATGAGGCTGTACTGCTGCGTCCAGATTAATGACCTCGGTCAGCATTGGGGGTGAAATTCTGAAGGTGTTGGGTGAAAAATGCAGGATCAAAACTCTGCTGCACAGTGAATGTTAGGGGTGTTTGGACAGTGTTTATGGGGGGGTTATGTTGGGGGGGTTTTGTTGGGGGGGGTGGTTGGGGGGGTTATGTAGGGGGGGTGGGGGGTGGCTGCATGCTGGTGCTATGTGTAAGTTCCAGGGAAAGTGTGTGTGCAGTTGAGGAGGTGGTCAGTGCTGAATGGGCGGGGCTAAACTGCTGTAGGTTGAATAGGTGGGGCTAAACTGCTGTAGCTGAATGGGGACTGAAAGGGTGGGGCTAAACTGCTGTAGCTGAATGGGGACTGAAAGGGTGGGGCTAAACTGCTGTAGACTGAATGGGCGGGGCTAAACCGCTGTAGACTGAATGGTGGGGCTAAACTGCTGTAGCTGAATGGGGACTGAAAGGGTGGGGCTAAACTGCTGTAGCTGAATGGGGACTGAAAGGGTGGGGCTAAACTGCTGTAGCTGAATGGGGACTGAAAGGGTGGGGCTAAACTGCTGTAGACTGAATGGTGGGGCTAAACTGCTGTAGACTGAATGGTGGGGCTAAACCGCTGTAGACTGAATGGTGGGGCTAAACTGCTGTAGACTGAATGGGCGGGGCTAAACCGCTGTAGACTGAATGGTGGGGCTAAACTGCTGTAGCTGAATGGGGACTGAAAGGGTGGGGCTAAACTGCTGTAGCTGAATGGGGACTGAAAGGGTGGGGCTAAACTGCTGTAGACTGAATGGGCGGGGCTAAACCGCTGTAGACTGAAAGGCCGGGGCTAAACCGCTGTAGCCTGACTGGGAGGGGCTAAACGTCTGTAGGCTGACTGGGAGGGGCTAAAACTGCTGAAGGCTGAATGGGAGGGGCTTACTTGATGTGGTGCTGAATGGGTGGTCATGTGTAAATGTATTTACGGCTGTGACATCACAACCACGATGAATCCAAATCAGACTAACCTTGGGCTTCGTTTCCAAACTACACCGACCCCTTTCAAAACAAGTGTGGAAAACTGGGTTCTCCGCGCTGCGGACCCTATAAGAGACACTCGCATGTGGATTTCCGGTTCATTAGGAAAGTGAAATGGTCCAGGATTCCTGATGTCAGTCAGAAACAGACCAGGCTCTCTGTTTTACGTAAACAGGAAGAATTCCCATCATTCCAGTCTGCAGGACTGACAGTGTGGAGCTGGTGGCTCCCATAAGGAATCTGAGCTATGGGAAAGGCCTGGACACGCCGGGTATGCGCGTGATGCACTGCTAAACATGAGACTCCCGTGACCTTCGGCCTTTTGTGTGGGAATATCTTCAGCCACGTGTCGTCCTGCAGCTGCCAGTATGATCATCGGACACTTTTTGGAAGTGAAACGGGTTTTTATTGATCTGTGCCGTCGCAGATGGTGCAGTTTACCGCCCACGGCTTCCGTTTAGCCCTGTTCAGTAAATGTAGGAGTGCTGTCTGAGGCCTGTATGTTGTTGTAAGCTGTTACTGTGTGTAGTTTCGTGTTGTGGACTGTGAGTTTGGGCGTTTGGGATGTGCCTACAGGCATCTGCACAGTGCAGAAAACATCTGGAGGTGGTTTGTAATTTGCTTGTAATCCAGTAACTGGAATAATGTGAAGGCCTCGATTTCACAGCTCTGCTGAAACTGGTGGACCTTCTTTTCTTTTGGCACCTTTTCATTAAAGCCACAGACACACTAGACTTTGCATCCTGTTCCGAAATGGCTGAACTGTAAGATCGCCGACAAAAACCCTCCATGTTGGTACAGTTAGCAAGCTAGCTTACTCGCCAACCATAAACAATAATGAGGAAGTATCCCAAACTTCAGAGTTGGTGACCTGCTACTGCTGTAATCTATCAATCTGCCAATCAATCAATCAACCTTTATTTTGACTAAGAAGTGCATTGAGGGTGACCCTCATTTACAATGTAGCAAGTTAAACAGAAATTAAATGTAGTTCAAATAAAATGTATCAACTAAAACAAATAAAAATCAGCTAGATAGCAAGCTTTATACAGAAAAAATGAAAATTCAAATAAGAAACAGGCATCAAATAGCAATAAAATATATAATGACAGCAAATTAAAAGCAAAAGAACCAACTAATACAATAAGCAAATAAATAAATAAAAAGAATTTAAAAATACCTATAAAAAATAATAATCATTGAACTAATTTGAACATGAAGACTTGTGCTAGGGTTAGAGTGGAGTTTCATGTTTTATTCATATATTATTCAAATCCTTAGCTTTGCACTGTTTACCTTTCATTAAAGCAAGGCTAACATCGCAGTTAGCACGCTGGCTAACTCGTCTGAAACAGTTAAACAGTTAAACCACAAAAGAAAGATAGTAGTTCTCTGACTGACTGCGTATCATACAGTCTGCGTTCTGTGTGTTTATTTATAGCCAGTGGAGAAGAAACTACAAGTGTCATGAGATGCTGGTTAAATTAGCATTTCCTCTGTTTATGACAGCTAAAACAGCAGCGCTGCGGGTCGAGGACTTGAATTCGGACTGTCAGCATCATGAAATTTTAGCTGACGGATTAATTGTCATATAAATAGTGCTGATTAACTATTTAATCATCATTTTTTATTTAATGCAACTAATAAAGGAGCCTAAAGCAGCCTAAGTGGCTGATTAGCTGTCTGGCTTCCTGACTATATTTAGCTAATGAGGTGCACTGACAATAAATGATATACTGCACTGTCACTAATTAATCTTGCCCATTATCTTAAATTGTATTGTGAGTGTCGTGATCTGGTACGAGGATTCACCAAACATTTTAACATAACTCTTGGACAAAGTATATATATATATATATATATATATATATACACTTTGTCCAACGGTTATAAATAAATATGTATATATATATATATATATATATATATATATATATATATATATTTTGTATTTAAATTTTACAAGGAGTCTTGGCACCTAAGATTTTCACTCACCTTGCACCTGTGTAAATGTGATGTAACAATAAACGTCATTTGATTAGATTTAAAAGTGATTTGATGCGAACTGGTTACCCTCCATGGCTAGAACCGTTCGGGCCTGACGTGAAAATGAAGCCATGTTTCTTTGCAAAAACAAGATGTCAGTCATTAAATACTGAATGATGTCAAACTGACCCCCAAGATAATTGAAAGGGTTCAGAATTTATTATGCAAAATAAATCATTTTTATGGTATAAATTACAGCTTTAGGGTTACTTTAAATGTTTGCATGTTTAAATGTTTCAATGAGTTTGCAAACAACTCATCATCCAACTCTCTACTGCGTTCAGTCCCAACCAGCTGAATAAAGGAGAACCCTCATGGTCTCCGTTGAACACTTAGTCAAATGGAAACTGTTTTCGCAGAACCGAAAGTAGTTTCTGTTGGTGGACTCTTCTTATATCTGCTCACTCTGCTGCTTAACCCCTTAAATGACCAGGACCCGCCGAGTTTTATTACACGCTTCTATAACCTACGAATAGCTCAGCTAGTTTGCACTGAAGTTCCTGTAGTTACTGAATAATACGTGTCAGTATATCATAAGCCTGAGATTTAAAGGGGTCCAGTCACTGAATCCTGGCTGAATCCCGTCTGTGTCATCATAGTTCATTGTTGTTATGATTTATTGTGAAAGTCAGGAAGGAGACCTAAGTTAAGCTTGTGATTTCAATGAATCATGAATGATTTATTGCGTTAACTGCCACAAGTTAACTGTTTATAAAATTGTGGGCTCTGATGCCTTTACTGCCCTCTACTACCCCCTCCTGCCCTCTGTTGCCCCCTACTGCCCCACACTACACTCTACTGCACTTACTGTATGTACTGGCCCTTCTGCCCTTTAATGCCCTCTCCTGCAGCTTTCTGGCTCTACTGCCCCCATTCTGCCCCTACTGCCTTCTGCTGCCCTCTAGTGCCCCTTACTGTCTGTACTGACCCCTACTGCCCATAATGCCCCATACAGCCCTTACTAACCATTTATTGCTCTTACTCTCCATATTGCTCCATATAGCCCAATACCACCCTCTTTCCACCCCCTACTGCCCCCTACTGTACGTATTTCCCCCTTTTGTCCTCTAATTCCCTCTCCTGCAGCTTTTTGTCTCTACTGCCTTCTTTTGCCC